TGGCAGGTTAACCCTAAATATTTGAGCCTGTTTCCTAAGTCAAAGAAGATTTCACTTTATAAACCATGTTGTTATATTTAAGAAAATTGGCAGTAATTCCATAATATTAACTGTTACTGAGCTCATATTCCAATTTTCCTAGTTGTTCCAAGAATCTTTCATGGCTTTCACTGAAACTGGATCCAGTCATGATTCATGGGTGGCATTTGGGTGTGACTTTGATCTTTTAATCTAGAATAGGCCTTCCACCCAAACCTTTTCCCCTACAACATTAACCTTTTGAAGAATTGTGTTGGAAAATTTCATGCATCTGGATTTGTCTGCTTGTGGTATAATTTAACTTGTTTATTCCTTCTCATTCCTGTGTAGTGAGGGTTAGGTTTGCATATTTAATTAAATTCAGATTAAACATTTATCTAGACTATTTCATAGATGAAGTTGCTTACTTCAGACATTAAGAGGCATATAGTTTACGTTTTTCCTGTACTAGTGATCCTAAATTACTTCACTTCCTTTGGGTGGTGATTATCAGACTTTACCATTTTAAGGGAATATTTTCTTCCTTGTAATAAATAATCTTGGTATCTTGGTGATTGTTTTGCTTAGTAACCTTTCACAAATGGATTAGGTATCCACTAATGATCCTTGCCTGAATTAGCTATTACATTGAGAGTTGTAAAGTGATGATTTTAAGTTTGACCATTCCTCCTATGTAATTAGCTAGCATTCTTCTGTAAAGAGGGTCTTCATTTTTTTCCAGATTAAACATTTGCAAAATCCTGTTGTTGATTTTTCTTTTTCTTTGTGGTATAATTTAAATTGTTATAAAGAATTCTTCTGTAAAAAGGAATTCACTATTTTTCTCTTTGCCATCCTTTTCTCCCCTTTTGAAGTATCACTATGACCTGATAGGTATTTATTTCTTCAGTATTCTAATAGAGTGATTATTTCAGTGTACAAATTGTCTCAAATTTGGCTAATGAGACTCTCCTTTAGTCTAGTCCCTGTTCCTGTGGTGAGCCCCCATCTATTTGTCTTTGAATACTTTCTTACATTGTCATAATAAGACATTTCAAGCTTACTTTGTACTTTTCTTCCTCAGAATGGATTTAGCCAAGGAGTTTTGGTTCCAGAAAAGGAGAACTTTTGAAATTTAATGATTCACCATTTCTCCTCTTCACAGAGGTTCAGTTGGTTCTGTATTAATTCAGAATTGCTAAGTACAAGATCCAAGGACCCCAGGCATCAGAGACTAGGTGAGATGGAATGATATGGGTAGATTCTGCTGAATCAGAGGAACTCTTTCAATTTAAAACAATATCCATCTATTTTGGCAACCTACTAGTAGTATGTCCTTTTTCTGACCCTTCCACTCTTCGGCTTTTTCTCTCATAGAGTTTTTATTCTTTCATTTACCTCCCTATTCATTCTGTTCTGATCTTTTTAGTTTTCTATAAGATATATTTCAGAGTTAAGCCATTAAGCTGTGAAAAATAACCACTTCCTGCAGCCATTTTTCCTAATTGATTCAATGTTTAGGTTTTGATGTAATCTTATTTAATATTAATTTATATTTATTTATGTTATTTTTCAAAGACTTCCCTCTCTGAAGAGGTTGTAGTGGATTCTCTCTCTTTCTCTCAGTTCTTAATTGGTAGTTGAACAGACTTCAGTGTGTTACATTAATGTGATGATTTGGTTTACATTTTTCCTTGGTTTGAGTTTCTATATCTATTGCATTCTTTCCTGTCACTTGGCCAGGATTCAGTCAAACATGTCTTCTCTTCACTGTACTTCCCACCCAAATCAGTGAAGAGGACGTTTTACCCAAATTTTCCTAACACAAATCTTTCTCCAGATGGAATATTTAAGTCTCATTGTGCTAGGGAAGAAGGAAAACTGGGGCATTTTGAAATTTGGTAAAATCAAGAAAGACATAAAAAATTGACAATTATAAGACTCCCTGTTTTTATATTCTGCCACATGGCATGTCTTTAAATGAATTGTGTATAATTTGTCTCAAATGCTGACATTTAGCTCATAAGCTGTATAATTGTGCTTGATTTTTCCAAAGCAAAATACCTATTTTGTGACCAGGCTGGTATGTTCACCTACTATAAACATTACTGCCTCTGATAACAGCTAGAATTTTAAAAATCTTTTTATATACAGAATAACTGGCAGAAACTCCTGGGACCACCACAAATCATTCCTGTTTTTTTTTTTTTTAGCTTGCTCACAAAAGCATGGAAATAAAAAATCCGCCAGGCCTAACATAGATTGACTTTGAAAATTGTTAGTTTATTTGGGCCACCATTCCTTCTATTGTTATTGTTGCTGTGTAAGATATCAAGTATTCAACAATCTCTTCTAATTAATATATGCTCTGTGCTTAGTAACCTATCCGTTCATCTCTGACCCCCTTTTTGTTAAAGGTTAATAATGAGAATAATGAAGCAATTGGTTATTTATACAGTCGTGATTGGTAAAAAAATATTAGGAATTTGCTCAGAAGCAGTGATTAGGTTATGAAAATGTTAAGGAATACTTAAATCAGTCACCATTTTTGGCATTTAAGAACTATTACCCTAGTCCTTAATCGAGATGAGCTCTTGTAAAAGTGTTTATACAGAATAATTCTTTTAGACAGTAATTCTTATACCAACAATATACATAAGTAGGTGCTAAGAGGGAGATTCAGAAATGATCTGAAAGCAAAAGAAGCTTGGAGAGGAAATTACTACAATGAGAAATTAGCAACAGAGCTCTCTTGACTAGAAATATCTATCTCCCAGACACCTGATCTATGAAGTTAGGTGACCTTTCTGGTTTAATATTTTCATCTTGAACATTTTTCAGACTTCAGCAGCTGCAAGAAAAGGTGGGCAGAAAATTCCTTGGTATTTGTTTTGTTAGTGAAAAATTGACATAACTGATGCTATACAAAATAAGATAAAAATTAAATTATAATCCCTTTATGTTTAGTATAGTTAGAAACTTTCTGGGTAAATTTGGCAGTAATTATTTTTACCAGAATAGCATCATCATTTCTACCTTTATTTTGTTTTATTATACAGTTTTATTGATATATAATTCACATAAAGTAAAACCCTTTTCAAGTATACAATTAAATGGTTTTGAGTATATTCCCAAAGGTGTGCAAACACTATCATCACCTCATTCCAGAACATATTCATTACCTTTTTCCCAAAACCTACACTTTTCCATTTCTTCTTCCTTAGTCCCTACCAACAGTAGACAGACTTTCTGTCTGTCTGTATGGATCTGCCTACTCTGGACATTTCATGTAAATGAAATCATACAATATATATAGTCTTTGTCTATTTTCTTTCATTTAGCAGTGTTTTTAGCACAGTATGTGACAGTGCTTCATTTTTATGATCAATAATTTACCATTGTGTAGATACTTAACATTTTTAGTTGGTGGACATTGAAGTTGTTTTCACTTCACTATTATGAATAATGTCACTCTGGATATACATTTATGAGTTTTTGTGTAGATACTGGTTTCAGTTCTCTTGGATATATCCCTAGGAGTAGAATTGCTGAGTTATATGGAAACTGTATGTCTGCTTTTTTGAAATTCTACCAAATTATATTCCAAAGTGGCAGCACAGTTTTATATCCCTATTAGATATTGGAGGGTTCCACTTTCTCCATATCCTTATCAACACTTGCAATTATTGGTCTTTTGATTATGACCATCCTAGTGGATATGGAGACATTTCACATTGTGCTTTTGGTTTGCATTTCCCTGATGGCTAATTATGTTCAGCACCTTTTCTTGTACTTCTTGCTCAACTATACATGATCTTTTGCAAAACATACTCAGAGTCTCTGCCCATTTTTTAATTGGGATAATAATCTTTCCATTTTATATGAAGCCTTTATATGTTCTGGACACTAATCCTTTATCATATATATGACTTCCAAATATTTTCTCTCATTTCTGTTATTTTAAGGCCTATGTTTTGAATGTCCTCTCTCTCTCTCTCTCTCTCTCTCTCTCTCACTCTCTCTCTTTCTCTCTGATGGTACTGGGGGTTGGACTCAGGGTCTCACACTTGCTAGGCAAGCATTCTACTACTTGACCCATGCCTCTCAGTCCTTTTGTTTTTAGTTTGTTTTCCAGATAGGGTCTTGTACTTTTGCCGGGTTAGCCTTGGATTGTGATCCTCCTACCTCTGCCTCCCTAGTAGCTAGGATAATAGGTATCCCCCACCATACCCAGTTTGTTTTTTCCTGAACGGCCTCCAACTGTGATCTTTCAGCTCTCTGCCTCCCAGGTAGCTGGAATTATAGACATGCACCACCATGCCTAGCCCCTTTTCAGTTTCTTTATATATATATATTACTGTTGTTTGGTTACTTGTGCTTTTAAGTGATCATTACTTAACGCAAGGTTACAAAGATATACTTTTGTGGTTTCTTCTAAGAGCTTTATAGTTTTAACTCTTAGATTCAGATCACCGGTCGATGTTTTTCTTCTTCCCTCCCTCCTTCTCTCCCCTCCTTCTTTGTTTCTTTTTTTGAGACAGCATCTTACTGTGTAGCCCAGGCTGACCTCAAAGTCACTATGTAGCCCATGCTGACCTCAAACTAAGATTGTTCTGCCTCAGCCTCCTCAGTACTGAGATTATAGGCACGAACCACCACCCCTGACTTAATTTCTTTAATATAATGTGAGGTAAGAGTTCCTTTGCATATCTCTGTGCTTGTTTTCGTTTATTCAAATTTAAATAATTGAAATATAAATTTCTCTTCAACTGGATCATCATTGCTATTTTGTAAAATTATTACTTCATGATTTGGGGGGTGTGATATATTTACTGTTTTCATCTGATGACTTTATACTTACCTATTCTCTTACCAAATATTGTTCTGTTTCTATCTCTCTTTGTTGTAGTCTGAAAAGCAGCACTGATGTATGCAGTTTAAATCAGTATTTTAGTTGTTTTTCCCTTAATTTGCAATCTTACCTCTTCAACTACAGTATAGAGAATGCCAAGAACTTCTCAGTCTCTATCAGAAATACCTGTCAGAACAGCAAGAAAAGCTCACCATGTCTCTCTCAGAACTTAATGCTGCTAGGATGCAGGAACAGCAGGTAAGCCATCTTTATTCTTACCCTTTCTTATCTTTAATGGATCACCAAGATTGCAGAAGAGTCATTTGTCTTTTATTTAATTGTCACACTATATGTAATATTGTTTAAAAACATATATATCATATAAGTTGATGTCTTTTGCCTTCCCCTTTGCTTTTCCTCTCCTGTTCCTGGGACCCATAGTTCCCAAGTGCAAGCCCTGAGTTCAAACTCCTGAATGAATGGATGAAGAAAGAAAGAGAGAGAAAGAAACAAAGAAAGAGAGAGAGGAAGGAAGGAAGGAAGGGACAGAGGGAGGGAGGAAGGAAAGAAAGAAGAAAGGGAGGGAAGGAAAGGGGAAAAGGAAGAGGAAGGGATAAGAAAGAAAGAAAGTTTTATATGGGCTGGGACTTGGCTCAAGTGGTAAAGTGCCTGCCTAGACAAATGGATGCCCTGAGTTCAAACCCCAGTACTACCAAAACCAACCAAATGAAATAGGAAAAGAGTTTTGGCTAAGGGAACTCCAGTTTTGAACCTAAAATTTGCATCTATAGAAAAGTAAATAACTAATTATTATTAGAGTAATAATAATACTTCTGGAATGTAAAATAGTTGAGATTTTTAACATAGCCTATTTTATAAAGTCACAAACTTTTAAAGATGTAGCCAATGTATTTGTATTCAAATTTGAAAAAAAAATTTAAATGTTTTCTTTTGTTCTCTTTTCTGAAAACCTACATTATAAAATGATCAAATCTTGATTATTTATATGAATTTTCCCTTCCACTTTGAAAATAGGTGAAGAAGTTTTTAAGGTGCCCCTAGCCTAGTAATCTTGAGTAGGCTAGAAAAAAATTATAGTGTGAAGATCACATTTCTGGTCTTTGTTTTCACATTTCTAGGTATGCTCTCTGCATGGCACAGGTGATATAGAAGTCACAAAATTGAAGGGTAACTCATTTGTCAAGGGTGTAGAGGACCTCTTGTTTAACAGTGTTAATAGTCTTCCAAACATTAGTAGATAGAGTCAAGAAGTAGTGACTAAAGAATAAAAGGAAACATCAGTAAAAACCCACAAACAACAAATAAACAAAAAAAGGAATAGTTGCTAGGTGTATCCTAAAGACATCTAGAGTAGAAGACCTTACCTTTTTTTTTCTATCTGTTTCTGAAATTGGGAGGAGGGGGAGAATTTTCTCAGCTGTTTGTGATTTAGATTTAAGGTAGTGCTTTCTTGGTGGGTTTCACTGATGACCAGTTAACACTGCTTCCCTTAGCCTTTAACAATGAAAGCCAAAAGTAAAAGTATTACAAGTACTAGAAAAAAAATTTGGCCAAGTATATGGAGAAAATGTACCCTCAAAAAAAGATACCTGAGCTAGAGGTATAGCTCAGGTATAGAATGTTTGTCTAGCATACTCAAAGCCCTGAGTTCAATCCCACAGCACCACAGAAAACAACAAAAACAAAAAATATATTTTTGAATTTTCATTTTGACTTAATCAAGAGAACATTTTTAAACCATGTTTTCAGCAAGTGCCTGGAAGTTAAGTTTTAGGTTATGTCTTGTAATAGAATGAAACAGAGTTCAGGCCACCTGTGGGCTCTGCCATTTGAATCTAGAGAATACCATTTGAGTCTTTAAATACCAAGGAGAAAAAGTCACTGAATTTCTGGTTTATCCTTTGGTTTGTTCTTTGTGACAGGCTTCTCTATATGAAGCAAAAGTATATGGTGTTTTTGATAAAACACCATGCTCTTAATTTAATGGTTAAATTTATCAGTCTTTTATGGTTTGTGCTTTTTGAGTCCTTTCCTCTTCTAATGCATAAAATATTCTTGTACATTGTTTTTAAATGTTTTCTTGTTCTGTCTTTTTCACGCAAGTTTCTGATTCACTTGGAATTGAGTTTGAGGATTGATGTGAGACGAGTTTTTTTTTTTTTTTTTAATCATATGTGGCTTTTCTTTGTACTATACCTTTGGTTTTGTTTTTCAGTGCTGCAGACCAATCCAGGGCCTTGGGCATGCTAGTCAAGTTTCTGCAACTGAGCTATATCCATACCTGTCAACTGTTTCTTAAATGTTGTGTGATTCCCTTTCCTGGACCTCTCTTTTATTTTGCCAGGGTACCAGCAGTGGTTCTGAGGAGAAACTACTTATCAAGAAACTAATATGTAATCGATCATTCCTATAAATAATATGATTAAATAGTTGCAGTCCTGTTATGAGGAGATCTCAAATATTAGAACCATCCATATAAAGAGCTAGGGGAAGAATGTCTTGGCAGAGGAAATAGCCAGGTTCTCTATCAACTGGAATAGTCACTTAGAAATGTAGTAAAATGAAAAGCTGAAGAGAAAGACATAGTTCAAAATATGAAGTAAACTAAAATGTGGTATGATTCTGAGGAGTTGAATTTTTAGAAAGGAGATTTTTTTTTTGGCCTCTATACTTAGAACACTTTTTCAAGTGTCTGGGCTAGTGACCGCAGGCTGACATATTACTTGCTATGAATTTAATCACATACCCTGTTTCTGCTGTGACAAGTATTTTCATATTTTATGTTTATAGACCTGCTTTCAGAATAAACCTGTAAACAGTTGGATTGTATTATCTAGTCTCTGAAAAGAATACAAATGGCAAAACCTTGATGGTGTGAAAGAAATGATGGAGCCGTTAAAAGTCTCAGTCTAAAAGAGGCAAAGAGGTGAAAGAAGTGTTAGATGCTGATTTTCTTATTTAGAGAATTCAGATTCACAAAATGTAGTATAAAGTGATCTAGCAGAGATTATAACTACTGAAGTTGGAAATGTTTTACAAATAAAGATAACTAAGAACAACTTTATACGATATAGTGTAAAAATTAGGTAAATTCCATTATAGTGAGGAAAATACTAAATGTTGCCTAATAAGTAAATATGTAACTGTAATTGTAGAAGTAGAGGTTAAACATATTAAAGTTGTGGAGTAGCACTAAAATAACTAAAGTCAGAAATGAAAAGAGGGTGTAATTACTTCTGAGGAATGGGATTGGGAGTAAGGGACCCAGATGTTTTATTTTCCATTTTATTTCTTTCTATAACTAGTCTGTGTTCATCTAATTCTTTCCAGATAATGCAAATAGACTTTAAAAAGTTAAAGATATGAGTTTATGCTGAAGAATTAAAACAATAATGGGAAGCTGAGGAATGTCAAAGTCAGTTGGACATCTAGAATAGTCTTATGAGTATTATATAATTTATTAATCCACTTGTGAACTTTCTATATAAAAAAATTTATATCTTGTAGTAGTCTAATGGAAGTGAACCTACTTAATGTGAGTTACAAATTTAAAGTCATGGTAATATTGCATATACATTCATTCATTTGTAGAAATTAATTGATGGAGTAAATCTCAAAGTATTACTCTGCTTGCCTGTCCCTGATATGATCCAAGGTAGTAGAAAGGAAAGTTCACAATGGCTTTGTTGTATGAACTTAATTATATTTATTTTTCTTTGTTATTTGTAGTGTAAAGTGTTGAAACTAGAAATAATTTTGAGATCATCTTCTTCAGTGACAAAGAGCCTTTTCCTAATATATATATAACTAGCAGTCAAAATCATGTGGATTTTGAGAAGATATCCCCTCCCCAGGTGATCCTGCTATGCACCTTAGGTGAGAAATCCTCATTTCATCGAGCCTCTTCATTTTCAGAAGTAGAAACTTAGACCCTGGCATTTGAATAGCTGATTAGTAGCAGAGCGTATGTTGGCTCTTAGCATCCCAAATTTCACAAAGTTCTAGTTTTGAAAATCTGCGATCTCTTTACTTTTGCTGCTATATGTTGTTTCTGTTGGTCTAGAGTGTTTTCTTGACTTATTTTGCTAATTTTATTATTTATCTTCTTTTTTAAAAACTCTTTCAAACAAAAAGTCTAAAACACACTATCTCCTTCTGAAAATCAACCCTCCCTGTTTCAGCCTCACCTCTACCCTCATTTTTAGTAATACACAGTGTTTTCTTTTCCTGAGCTAATACTAATTGGCCTACTTTTGAGTTAGGAGTCTGCTGTGTTCATACTAAATTGGTTACCAGTTCACCACCCACCTCCCAACATCCAGGGTTTTATTTTTATCTTTTACTTTCCTTTTTTTTAAATCCCTGAATGTCCATACTTTTTATATTCCTTTCTTGTCCTTTTACTGTAAAGTTCACCAATTTTTATTGAAGTTCTGATTTCTTTTTTACAATTCTCAAACAAACAAAAAACATTTCAGCTGGCTTCAGTGGCCCAAGCTAATTGGGAGGATGGCTGTTTGAGGCCAGTGCAGGCAGAAAGTTTACAAGACTCATCTCAACCAATAGTTGGATTCATTGGCACATGCCTGTCATCCCAAGCTTTGGGAGGCTGAAATTGGGAGGATTGCTGTTCCAGGCCAATCCGGGGCAAAAAAAAAGTTTGTGAAACACCATCTCACCACAAAAAAGCTGGATGTGGTGGTATGTGTCTGTCATCCCAGCTACCGTGGGAAGCTTAAAATAGGAGGGTTGGGGTCCAAGGTAGCCTGGGCAAAAAGCGAGACCCTGTTTCCAAAATAACTAGATTAAAAAAGGGACAGAGGCATGGCTCAAGCACTAGAGCCAACCACCAACCTGTGAGTTCAAAGCCAGTACCTCCAATAAACATTTCAATAGCAACAAATCACTGATAACGTTAGTAAAGCAAAAAAATGAAATGATTGCTCTGAAAATTGTATGTATGATATGACTGCTTTGTCGTTGTGTCCTTGCTCCATCCCCTAATGGGGTAAACTATTCTTTGTACTTTGTCATAGAATATATTAGGCAGAGCTTCATATAATGTACCTTGCTCCTATCTCTCCTATCCTGGGGTCTAGGAAAATTCTCCTTGTGCTAGTTTTTGGTTTTGTTTTTGTTTTTTTAGTGAAATTAAATTTGCATTTTTCTTTTTCCCCTTGTAGAACTTAAACTATACAGCTTTTCCACAGGGAACAGAAGAACTTCCTTATTGTTTAGGGATATAGTTGCTTATAGTGATAATAATGATTATTATTGTTTATTGATCACTTCTCTGTGTCATTTGCTTTGCAAACATTATCTTTTATTCTCAAAATGCCGTAAGTAGTTATTGTTCTCTCCTTTTGACAAATGATGAAATCGCTTTTTATAAGGTAAGTAACTTGCCCAATGTTACAAAGTTAGTGTTAGACACACTATCTCAAAAACTTTTTCTGACTCCAAAATCTGTTCTTTTCCACATTTCATCTTTTTAGTCTCATACTTAATTTTAACAACCGCAACAATAATAATGATGGCTTGCACTGATATACCACTTACCCTGTACCAGTTACTACTTTAAGCTCTTTATGTATATTGACATATTTCTCACCTTAACTTTATAAAATAGGCACCATTATTATCTACTTTTATGTAGGGCAGAGAGAATAAATAACTTGCTCAAAATCAATTATTTATAGCTATAATGTGTGGGGCCAGGATTCTAACACAGTGGTTTGGTTGTTACTGGAGTAGATGTCTATATTTCTATTTAATTGATTTTAATTAATTTTTTTGCATTTTATTTATTATTGTGCTGAGTGTGGATACATTGTAGTGTATACCAAGGTTCTTACAATATCAGATACATCATACTTGAATTCCTTCCCTCTACTTCTCTCCCCTATCCTCCCCCCATTCCTGGAACAGTTTCAACAGGAATCATTTTTGCGTTTACATACAAGTGTATATGTTGTTGTTTGCACCATATTCATCTCTTACCCTTTCCTTGCCACCTCCCCCCTCACACCAGTGCCAGCCGCCTACTCCCGTCATCTCCCTGGACAGTACCTGTTCCGCCCTCTTGTTCTCTGATTTTGTAGAAGAAAAAGCCTAATAGATAAAATGAGAAACATGACATTTTACTAATTTGAGATAAAAACAGCTACATAGGGAGTTTCTTTGTGTTGTTCCCAAGCATATTACAGCTCCAGTTGTTATGCCTCTTCTAGTCCTCTTCACTCCTCCCTAGTCTGCTTCTCATGGTGGCCCTAGACAGTTTAAATTTTCTATATTCATTCCTATACAGTGAGCACATCAACCTCATTCAAGTTTTTGGTTTCCTTCCCTTACCCTATCCCTCCCTTGCACAGCCTTCCTTTCTGATCCTGGCTAACTTCCCTTAAGATGATGTTCTCCAGTTCCATCCATTTACCTATGAATGACAAAATTTCATTCTCCTTTGTGGCTGAGTAAAATTCCATTGTGTATAAATAACACATTTCCTTAATCCATTCATCAGTAGTGGGGCATCTTGACTGTTTCCATAGCTTAGCTATTGTGAATAGTGCTGCAGTAAACATGGGTGTGCAGGTGCTTTTGTTGTAACCTGACTTACATGATTTCTGAGTCTTTTAAAAGGGCTCTAACCTTTAAAACCTTTAACTAAATATTTGGATTCTTCATAAGTTTAAATACTTAGCTTTTTCTTTTTTTTACATTTTTATTAGCATATATTATTTGTAAAGGGTAGTTTTATTGTGATATTTACTTATGTGCTTACAATGGATCTTAATTAGATTCACCGATTCCATCATTCTCCCTCATCCTCACTCCCCTCCTTCTTAGAACAATTTCAGCAAGTTTCATTATTCTATTTTCATATACATATATAAAGTACATCCACCATATTCGCCCTCCATTTACCCTCCCCCTCACTGGTACTCACCCCCAGATAGGACCTGTTTTGCCTTCCTGTCCTTCATTTTTTTAGTGTATATTGGTTGTTAAATGGGGTTTTACCATGGTATTTCACACATACATATATATGTGATGATTGTTTTATTACTTATGATTTAGGAAGGAATGTGTTTAATTCTTTCCTTCGTTTTCCTTCCTTTCCTTTCTTCCCTCCTTCTCTCCCTCCCTCCTGTCCTTCTTTCCTTGCTTCCCCTTCATTCCTGTCTTTATTCTTTTTGTGTTTTGGTTTGTATAGCTAGCTTCTCTGACTTTCATAAAAGGTTTCCAATGAATATAAACTTCTTAAAATGTCTGACATTATTCCACATCCCCCCAAAAGGTTATGTTTAAAACATAGTAAATTATGTAAAACATCTCTGTAAATGTTCTCTTCAGTCTGTAAATTTCTAACCTTGATTTTCAGTGGTATTCAGCTGAAAACAGTTTGAAACCAAAACTATATTTCTTCTAATTAAATATTTTTTTGAATTAGCATACATTAATAATATGAGGGAGTCAAACTGTGATAATTCCAGAGATGGGTGGAGTATCTGTCTTTATTCTTCAATCAGGCACATCAAACACATGACAGAGTATCTGCCATGAACTGAGTATTCAACCAATGGTAACTGTTGTTGTACAGTTTTTGTTATTATTCCAATAAAATTCAAGAGATTAATGCCTGAGTAATAGTAAATAAGGTCAGGAATTGATTTAAATAAGTATAAGTATATATATAAGTATATGCTGTTTACTTGCTAAACTTTTTTGAGAACAGCCTCTATTGCTAGGAGTTTTTAAAATAGCACCAGTTCTTCTCCAGTGGGGTCTCTTTTCCAATTCTAAATATTACCTTACATCTGGAATGCCATTTAATCCTAAGGAAAGACCAATTTGTAGTCCAGAACAACAGAATAGCATGCTGCTTTGAATAAGCATATTGTTTTGTCTTGACTTCTTAACAGTGGGCCTCAAACTGTGTCTAATCTGGAAAATTGCATTTGAAATTTGATCAATAAGGCAAAATCAAGTGGCCATATATAACAGTTATTCAGCTGCTACTCTCAGCCAGTACCTTCTTGCTGGCATTATTTACAGTTATAAAAGATAAATGATGTATATTGAGAAGGTATGAGGTGATTGCAAAGTTGATATCTGTTTTTCTCAGCTCCACCATAATAAAACAGCCAAGATAATTAACTCTCCTACCATCTCCTACAAGGGCATGTCCCAAATGACTTTAGATTAAAACCAAACAACAAAAAAACTACTTAATGACCTTTGGTATAATATCAAAAGTTCTAACTTTTATGTCATTGGAGTCTAAGGAAGAAAAGAAAAAGATATTATATGCAAAGAACAGGAAATATAACCAATTCTCAAGGGAAAGACAGCCTCTGCAGTGTTGTTTCTTAAGAAGTCTGTTGTAAGACAAAAATGAGTGTAACATTTCTTGTTTAAAACCTTGGGAACATTTGTAAGGGTATACGTAAGGATGTTAACTTGAAAAGCAGAACAAAATGTCTTGAAAATAAAGTACTGAAACACTTTTTCTGGTGGAGAATGCTATTTATCTGCCTGTTATCCTATCTTTCCTTCTTAACTGAATGCCAGTTTTATTGAGAGTAACTTACATAGCCTAGTTACATAGCCTACATTACCCAGCCTCCTTTGCAGATGAGGTGGCAGTGGGCTACAGTATGGCCAGAGATGTAAGTCTAAATTGTTCCTTGGGTTTTCTAAGAAATCTCATTAAGAGTACAGAGGTACAAGAGTATGGAATGGGTAAGGGAGTCTCCATTGTCATGTCTCTTTTTATTTTTTGTCCATTCTCTTTTTCCTCTATGGCAGGCAGTTCTCTACCAGGGCTGATTTTGACCCCCAGGAGAAATTTGGCAGTATTTGTAAACAGTTTTGGTTGTCACAGCTGAGGCTTGCCACTTTCATCAAGAGGCCAGAAATATTGCAAAACATCCTACAGTATCAGGACCATGCCTAGAGCAAAGAATCATGAAGTCCAAATGTCAGTATGCCAAGTTAAGACAGCCTGCTCTACTGAATACTGACCTCATTTTGGAGATTGAGCAGTGCTTTTATGACTGTAAAGTATCATGACCATGTCTGAGCTGAGAGACAAAAGGAACTAAAATTCCTAATAACGTTGTAGGGGTGCTAAAAGAGCCATGAATTGTGTGCTTCTAGACACCTCAAAATAAGAAAAAAATAATCATAATTTGTTTAAGCCAGAGAGTTTCTCTTCCTTTACATTGTTCTTAACTATCAGAGAGCGTCCATTTAGAAACGGATAGTCATAAAAATTAGGACAGCAAAAGTATAAATTGTCACGAAGAGACGTTAGGTACTGAAAAGAATAAAAAGCTTACCATGGTATATCCAGGCAAAGAGGCATTCTGTAAAAATTGAGTAAAGAAGTATAAAATCTGGCAAAATGACAAAAATTTTGGGATATTGAATAAATTTGCTTATTATTGAAGTATCTCTTAAGTACCTTAAGAGATACTTAAGATTCACTTTGTGGGTATCTTTAATGAGGCATTTTTCTGTTGCTATTATAATGTATTCATTCTGATGCCAAAATATTCTCATTTAAACAGCCACT